CCATCTCTCCAGCCCCCTGATTTATTTTCAAGAATACACACACACACACACGCACGCACGCGTGCATGCAGCATGCACTCTCATCCTCTTAGTACATCTTGGTTTTTAAACAATAGTAAGGGGGGCGGGGAGATAGTTCAGTAGAATAAGCGCTTGCTTGGCTTATTCTGAGTTCAATCCCTGGTTCGGGGAAAAACAAACAAACCAAAAAACACTAAAAAAACAATAGTGGGTTGGGGCCAGCAAGATATCTCAGGGGACTAAGTGCCTGCGTAGGCACATGCAGGAATTGGGTTCGATCCCAGCACCAAATTCCACATGGGCTCCTGTTCAAAATATATTAAAAAGAAAACAAGACACAATAGTGGGTTAACTGCTGCCTCAGAGGTAAGGAGGAGTGGAAGAAAATAACCAGTTTCATTCCCCTTGCCAGGCAAGTGCTTATTCTACTGAGCCATCTCCCAGGCCTGGCCAGCTGACAAGTTGGGAAGTAAACACTACTCAATCAACTTGCTGAAATAGAGTTGACCTCTCTTGCTTTTTTATTGTTGACATACAGAGTTGACCTGTGGTGCTTTTTATTTTTGGTGACAGGGTCTTGCAGCATAGTTCAGGCCAACTCTGAACTCACTATGTAGCCCAGGCTAGCCTTGAACTTGCAGTAATCCTCTTGCCTCAACCTCTCAAGTGCTACAATTACAGGTGTGAGTCATGTCTGGCTTGCTATTTACACTTTCTAGTGCATAATCTAAACTCCTTGGCATGGAATTCAAAGCTCATGATCTATTCACACCCACTTTATCATCTTAATCTCTTCCTCACCTGTGTTTTCCATATTATGTTCCAGCTATATAAAACAATGTAACTCTCTGATTTGGAGGCAAACAGGCAGGTTTTTGGATTAACCCTAGTTACTGGAAAGCAGCCTTACACAGCTCTTCCCCGACCCAGTGAATTTTTTTTTTTTTTTTTTTTCTTTCAGAACCAGAGATTGAACTCAGGCCCCTGCACTTGCCAGACAAGTGCTTATACTACTGAGCCATCTCCCAGGCCTGATCAGTGAATTCTCTGTTGAAAGGTTTCTTTCCAGCTGTGAGTGGTGACAACTTCCTCTTATCCCAGCACTGTAACAGGCTGGCATTATCACAGCAAGTTCAAACCCAGCCTGGGCAATTCAGTGATTTAGAACCTGCTTCTAAGGCAGGTATGGTGGTGCACAAAGGATTGCCAGGAGTTGGAGGCCACTCCGGATAACATTGTGAGTCCAAGGCTAGCCTGAAGTGCATGGGAAGACCCTGTCTCAAAACAACCAACCAACCAGACAAACAAAACAACAACAAACCTGCTTAAAAAAAACAAAAAGAGGCCTGGAGCGGAGCTTGGCGCAAAGACCTGGGTTCAAGTCCCAAAACTGAAAAACAGACTATTTCCTCTAATACTTTGTGTTCCCATTAGGCTGTTTTAGCACATCCTTTGTATCTTGTTCCCAACTTAAATGATCGATAAATAGAAGACATTCCAACTTGGCAATGCATTGTGTACAGTAATTTCTAGTACGGGAGTGGATGTTGGGCAGGACTAGAATCTCATGAATTGGTTTAACTCTGACTCTTCTAGGAATAGACATGCGGATGGCAGTTGAGCTCTGTGAAGCCACAGGGATTAAACGCGGGTGTAAGGGCACAAGAGGTGCAACAGTAGTGGACTGGGGCAGACCTGACTGCGCTAAGGGTGGCTGTGTGTTGAGGAGGAATGGTGTGCTCATTTCCTAAAATTTTCATCACTCTGCTCATGCTTCTCATTCCATTCTCCACTCTCTGTTATCATTAGCAGCATCTTAAGGTTACAGAGCCAATTTCTTCCCTTCCTGTCCTTCTACCAAATTCCAGTTTGGTAGACATCAGCCTTCAGCATTAGAGTGACCTGCGGAGCTTTAAAAAAAATTACTGGTGGGGGTCGGGGCGATGGCTCAGTGGAATAAGCGCGTCCCGGGCAAGCGCAAGGGCCTGAGTTCAATCCCCGGTTCCGCCACAAACAAACAAAACAAAACAAAAATCTACTGGTGGCAGGGGCTAACCCAAGTGTAATGAATTGGCCTAGGGCAGAGCAATAGTACTGGTTTTGTTATTAGGAAAAAAAAAAAAAAGCTGCTTCCCTGGATATTCCAATGAGCTCACAAGGTTGACTTGTGCTTTTGATACGAAGCATTAGCATCCCTAACCCCTGAATCATCCACTTCCTGGCTCCATAATACTCGAGTCTCCCACTTTTAAAGATTCCTTGTACTTCACATTCTCGTTCTTCATTTTGCTCATTCCTTACAATGAAAACATTTTTTTGTACGGGGAATCGAACTCACAACCTCATGCTTGCCAGGCAGGCGATGTGTCTAAGCTACCTCCGCAGCCCTTTACAACGAATCTTATAAAAAGATGCTGGAAGTCTATTTCAGTGTAGTTTCTATAATCTAATCCTAATTTTTTACTTTCCTGGCCGGACTGTCCGAATGATGTCCCATCATTCTCTCCATCCCATCTCCTCTCTCATTTCTTTGACCAGCTGCTGCTTGCCCGTCTTTTAAACACACGTGGTTAAAAGTGACCCAGAGGAAATTCCTGTTATAATTCTACTGTGCTTTTTCATCATCTTCCATAGAGCAGAGTATTTAAAAAACTGAATTTATTTCATTCGCTTTTGACTTTCTCAAATTTAAGACACAGAAACCAGGGAGTGAGAAGTCTGAGGAATGAATGGAAATACTCGCAGGTCGGGGGCGGGGCACGGGGGAGGGGGCGTGCGTGTGTGCCAAGGGCGGGGGCTATGAGGGCGGCGCCGCGAATCTAGAGCCGGAAGGGGGAGGGGGCACGGACACGCGAGAATCTGCGTGGGCGGCCAACCGAACCACTGACCAGACGAGCTGAGACTCACCCAAGTGGGGAGGAGGCTTCTTACCTGCCTCGGGCCTCACCACCCCAACCAGCCTTCAGGCGCCTCTTGGTTGGCCGGAAAGTGCGCCCTAAGGTCGCAAACCCAGAGTTTTCTCTGCCAATCTTGCGACATTCCTCTCCCGCAAAGGGAAGAGTCCGACGCTCAGTTTAGTCCTGTCGTAAGTGGAGGAAGACACACGTTGGGGCGGAGCCACCCGGGGCGGAGGAAACGGGGTGTGTCCGCGCAAGCGCGTGTCTTGCGCCTCGGCGTCGTCACGTGTGGGGGCGGGGCCGGGCGGGGCTGGCGCGAGGGGGCGTGGGAGGTAAGTGCGCGCGCTCGCAGCCCAGGAGTCGCGCGGGGCGGGGCGTGTGCGCGGGGCTGGGGGCGCGCGGGCCGGAGCTGACGACTAGCGCTGCGGCTGTTGCCGGTGGCCGTGGAGAAATTCCGACCGGACGGCGAGAGGCTGCGGCGGCAGAGGCAGTGGCCCCACGGGCCGAGGCGGCGGTCCCGCGCGTGCTCCCTTGGCGGGTGCCTACTCGGCCGGGCGGAGTCTGTCTGACAGGGCGGGGGATGCGCGGCGGCCGCTAGCCCGGACCCTGAGGCGGCTGGGCCCACCCTCCCGGAACCGTCCGGCCAAGCCGGGTCCTCGGACCCTGAGGCCGAGTGCGGGAGGCAGCTTTCCCCGAAGAAGAGGGAGCCTTGCGGCCCCGCGACGCGGCCCGAGGTAAGACCCGCCCCGGCCGCCCTGGCGGCCCGACCCGGCCCAGCCCGGCCCACGTCTCGGAGTAGCTCCTTGGATCCCGCAGGCCGCCCCGCCCCGCCCCGCCGGAGACGCCCCACGGTCGGGGCTGCTCCGGGGCCTCGCGGGCGCCTGAGTCTGGCCCGGATTCTGCGAGACCCCACCCCTCGCGTCCTCCATTGGCCGGACCTCATTCCGGCCCCTCGACCCCCGTGGCGACTCTGTCACTAGCCCGGTCCATCCCGTTGGACTCTCCTCCGAGTCTCCCAGGACTCCGATGCATCTGCCGGGTTGCAGCTCCCAGACACGGCCACAACTGCTCCCTAAGCCGTGCCATCCCCAGCTTCTTGCATCTCCCCAGATCCGCCTCTGACCCCGGTCCGCCCTCTTAGCAGGACCCACTCCTCCTCCCTTCTCGCTCGTTGCCCGCCGCCAGTTCTTCCTTTACCCGCCGTGGCTTTCTAATCGCCCTTTTCATGATGCTCCTGAGACACCATCGCAGACTCCGGCTTCTTATCCCCAAATCCTACTGTACGTCTGCCATAGATCCTCCTCCAGCAAACCTTGTTATCTTTGTCCCTAGTCGTGTCCCGTCTTTGGTTGAAAGGGCTTTGTCATGCGATCCTGAGGGGGTGTTTGCTTTATCTAGTATATTCCCTCCAGTGGGGCATCAGGGGACGATTCTTGCTTGGAGACTGACTCTTTTTAGCTGATGGCTAAAAAATGAGCGAGGGAGAGGGAAGAGTGAAGCACCAGGCAGGTTGCCTGTGAGCCATTGTAAGGTCTCACAGCCTGCTCCTCTCCTGTGGAATCAATGAAGTAGCCCAAATCTGAGCCTGTAAGGATGAAATCACTTGATACTCATGAATGTACAGTAACTGTCTCCATTCTTTACTGCACCCCCAGGTAGATTTCTCCAGATATTTTGCACTAGTTTTGAAAGATACTAAGGGACCTGTTTTAGATTTACTATTTTCCAGTTTAAGATGTTGTAGCTGTCCTTAATCCCTGGAGATTTTAATATTATTTTTAATAATTTTCTTCCACTTGGTGTTGCTGTCTTCTCCAAGGAGCAAGTACAAAAGTTCTGCAGTGCTCCATGATGTCATTACCAATGATTTGCTCCATAGTAGTGAATTTTTTTTTTTTTTTTTAAATGGGGAATTGAACTAAGGACGTTGGCGTTTGCCAGGCAGGCACTGTGTCTCTGAGCTGTATCTCTGGCCCAGTTAGTAGTGAAGTATTGAGTAAAGTATTTGTTGTATTCAAGTTGTCAAGTAAATATGATGTTACATCAAATGATCAGTGCATATTTTTGATGTTGGTATGGGTGTCTTTGTAGTCAGTACTTTAAATGTTTTACTTTTATTGTGTGGAACCGAGGAGAGAGGGAGGCATGTCTAAGGAGTAACTAGACAAGTAGTATAAAATTCCAAAGGTTCAGAAGTGTAGTAAAACATTTCTTTGTCTTTTATTCTCCAACCTCTTTTTTACCCTCTATAGAGACACCACTATTTTCAACTTGTGTATCTTTCTTGTGGTGGTTCCAGCATCTGTAAGTCTGTACATTTATATTTTTAAAACATGCACACCACGTTCGAGTGGTTCTGCACTGTACTCTGTATAGTTTTTTAATTAATATGAGATTCTAGAGGTCATTGAATAACAATACATATGGAAATGCCTGCCTCATTTAGGGGCAGGATAGTGTTCCATTCTGATGAACTGGAAGTTCATCTTTTGCTTTAATAGTTTTTTTTTTTTTAAGCATCAGGTGTTATATGTATGTTTAAATACTTTTCATAATTTGAAAAAATCCATGATAATTCTTTTATATTGAATCTACAAAAAGATATAGTTAAATTTCTAATTAAGCTTTTGAACTACTATCAGTGGGGCTAGTTTTAGAATAATTGTAAGGTTCATCAGATAAATTAAAGATTTAAAACAGGTGACCACAATGGTCAGATTTACAATTCAATTCCCTGAATGCTGTGAGGAGGGTGGATTTAAGAGTAGATATGGCAAAAAAAAAAAAAAAAAAAAGCTAAATGCTGGAGCATCAGGAGGGCTAATGCAAGCAAATGATAATGAATCTAAACCTGGGTTTTAGTAGTTCACAGGAGTTGGTGATTTTATTAGATTTGAGATGGAGGAGAAGGTACAGAAAGGATAAGATCTAAGTTTCCAGCTGCCTTTCATCGAGGTGGCGAACCTTATGAAAGGAGAATGATTTAAAAAAAAAGAACTTTGATTTTATTGGTACATGTTTGTAGTACATGATTACATTCATCATAGGTAGTTTGTACATGTATATAACATATCTTAATTCTTTTTACATTCCCTTGCTCTCCCCTTCCTCCATCTTCTATTTTACTTTTATTATGTTAAGAATGAGGGCCTGTAATGTTAGCACTCCTAGAGGCTGAGGCAGGAGGATCACAAGTTTGAGCCCAACCTGAGCAATTAGTGAGACCTTGTCTGAAAGAAAAAAAAAAAAAAAAAAAAAAAGGCTGGGGATATAGCTCAGGACAAAAGCCTTAGATTCAATATCCAGTACTAGCACCACCACCACCAAAAAAAAAAAATCCCACTATTTATTACATATCTCCCTCTCCCCCTGTGCTATACACTTTGTAAAGGAAAAGTGTAAATGTAGTTTTTTTTTGGAGATGGGAAGGAAGTCTCACTATGTTGCCCAAGCTGCTCTTAAACTCTTTGACCTAAGCAGCCTTTTTTCCTTAGCCACTGGGAGGTGGAACTATCTTACTTGTACCAACAGGTTCAATGTAGGTTTTTATTTATTTTGTCTTTTTGAGATAGGGTCTCACTGTGCAGTTCAGGCTGGCCTCGAGTTCACTTTGTGATGAGCCTCCTGTGTCAGCCGCCCAAGTGCAGGGATTACAGGCATGTACTACCATGCCTGGCTAAACATTGATTTTTAAGTTTATTTTTATTTATTTATTTTTTGTTTGGTTTTTGCGGTACCGGGGATTGAACTCAGGACCTTAAGCTTTCCAGGCAAATGCTTATTCTGCTGAGCTATCTCCCTGGCAACATTGGTTTTTAAAAGAAGTACAGCCTCAGTAGAAATCAGTTATACAAATTCCATCATTCCTAATTATCAGCCTTTAATATTAATTTGCAAAGTATATGCAGTTTGAAATTGGCTTGCCAATGATGTTAAGGTTTTTAGTTCGAATGATTTTTAAATACTTAACGTAGATTGAGAGAAACATTAATCAAAGACTTTTCATACATCTTTATTTATTTATTTATTTATTTAGTGTGTGTGTGGACGGCTCAGCCCACCAGGGGGCAGGGCTGGCTGGCATGTGGTGCTGGGGGATTGAACTGTGGTCCCTGTGCTTTGCTTAGCTTAGCTTGTTCTAAGTAGGTGCTTTAGACCACTGAGCCATCTCACCAACCCTTTTCATACATCTTTAAAGCACAATATATTAAGTCTTAGAATTGTTCTCTCTCTCTCTCTTACTTTCAGACAGGGTTTGGCTATGTAGTTTATGATGGCCTTGAACTCACTATGTGGCCCATGCTGGCCTTGAACTCATGGCTATCCTGCCTCAGCCTCTCCAGTGTTGGGATTATAGGTGTGTGCTACCATGCCTGACTCTACAACTTTTTCTAGAACTCTTGGATTTGCTTTGCACCTCTAACTTGTCTAATGGATATCTACATTTGTCCTCACATTTCACAAGTATTTTGATCCCCAAAATTTATGTAACGTTACCTCTCCACTTCTCTTTCCCCCAAAGCTGTGTGTGCATGCATGGGTGTTTGCTAGACAGGACGTTTTTGCTTTCTCTTGATTTTCTTTCTTGGTTTATGACACTGCTGTGTCTCATAAGGTCTTCAGGAAGCCATGAATCATCTTCCACTCCAGTCTGAGCATCACTACCAACATCCCCTTTGCCACTGAATCTTGTATACTCTTGAGTTCAATTTTATTTATTTATTTATTTATTTTTGGTGTGGGGAGGACCAGGAATTGAACTCTCTCTCTCTTTCTTTTTTTTTTTTTTTTTTTGGCAGAACCAGGGATTGAACTCAGGCCCTTGTGCTTGCCAGGGAAGCACTTATTCTCCTGAGCCATCTCCCCGGCCCCAGGAATTGAACTCTTGACCTTGTGCTTGCCAGGCCCTTGTGCCACTGTGCTATATCCCTGGCCCAAATTTTGTACATTCTTTCTCGTGGTATATCAGATTATTTCTTTTTTCTTATCTTTAGTTTGTGTTAACTAAAAATATCTGTTGGGCTCTTTTTTAATAATAATTATTATTAGTGTGGTAATGAGATTAAATCCAGGGCCTTCCCATTGAGCTATATCCATAGCCCTGTTCAAAAGTATTTTTTTTCCTTTGAAACAAGGTCTTCCTATGTAGTTCAGGCTGGTTTTGAACTCACTATATGGCCTTAAACTTGCAGTTCTACTTCAGCCTTCCAAG